TGGATTCTGCAACTATACTATTTTGCTTTTTAAATTTATTTTAAATAAACTTTTTCCTATAACTACTTTAACGAAATAAAAGACACAATGGAATAGATTATAGTTCTGTTATATAATATTTCATTTTCGTTTTAAGCTACATAATGGGTAGCACAAAAAGTATATGGTATATAAATTCTATTTATATTGTTAGTTAATCCTCTTGTAAACGTAATTTTGGCTGCCATACTTTTTATGAATTGTGATTTAATAAATACCATTGCATACAATCAGCTTTGCCAATGCAGTTAGCTGATGGCACCACGGTATATGAAGGACGTCTTGAGATTTGGTTTAATGATAGATGGGCGAATGTCTGCGGAAATGGCTGGGATATACAAGATGCAGATGTTGTTTGCAAAGAGCTGGGCTATGATGGTGCAGCAGAGGCTTTCGATAACAGTGATATTTTTGGCGAAGGAACTGGTTCAATCATTCTGGAGAATGTTGAGTGTCTGGGAACTGAGTCTTCCCTAACACAATGCCTAAACCAAGGTTGGGGAGTTCACAATTGTACTCACTCCAGGGATGCTGGCGTCAGATGCATTGAACCTAGTCAACTGCGACGGAACGTTTCTGCTGAAAGTCTACCTTCAGGTAGGCGTAATAAATCCAATATGCGAGCGACGCGAACATCTAGGCTGGGGGGCCCGGGTCCACCAAGGGGATGGGGATCCACTGGCAAAGCGTTCACCAACCATGGTGGGTCTGAGGTAAGGAAAAATTATGATTATGGCGCTTCAGATGGCTGGAAATCTCAAATTTGACTTTGAATATAATTTTGTGATTTCTTCATTATTTTCATAATAGGCCTATTGAAAAGTTTAGGAGGGTAGTGGGGGGGGGGGTAGGGTGGTGACGTCGCAGCTCGGCTTCCTCTTGAATCCACAACTGTTCAATATAACATTTCACATAGCCTATCATTTTGTTTCACAAAGCAAGAAGAAAGAATTTTAAAACATTTGCAACTTTAGAATTTTTCAAACAGCCCTTTCAAAAGAATAATTATTCATGGCATTTTCGTGTCTTCATATTGACTAAAGATAATGTACTTTACAGTACACCGTGCAATCAAAGCACATTTCATTGCATACATTTTTAAAACACAATTTTCACTCCAATTCGGGACCACTTCAGATGGCTGGAAATCTCAAATTTGACTTTGAATATAATTTGGTGATTTCTTCATTATTTTCATAATAGGCCTATTGAAAAAATTAGGAGGGTAGTGGGGAGTGGTGACGTGACAGCTCTACTTCCTCTTGAATCCACAACTGTTCAATATAACATTTCACATAGCCTATCAGATTGTTTCACAAATGACATTAATAATGTCTAGCGAAAAGGTTTATTTATTCAATAGAGTTTTTACAAACTATGATACATTCCTCTTCTTCGATTTAAATTTCAAACTTACTAATATTAACTCTCTCCAACAAGGTATTTTCAAGTATGCATCATCTCACTCCATTTTACCAAAGTATTTCCGTGGCATTTTCAAAATTCCTCTCTCACTCGAGGTAGATCTGATGTTTACATTCCCAATCATAAGACACATTATTTCCAAGATTATATTAGATTTACTGGCCACGCATTTAAAATCTCTCAGGTTGGTAACTAGACTCTATGAAAAGCTCTCTTCTGTTAATGGACTCCAAAAGGGTTGTGTAAAACAGGAGGGGTAAAAAGAACGTCGAATGAAAGGTCAACCACCGCAGTTTAAGTCTTCTTGACTCAAAGCAGCCACCCCCAGTAGAAAAAGTGGAGGGGAGCAATGGCCCCTGTCAACACAACCCGCCTCGCCCCCAGCTTTTAAACCTAGTTCGTATTCTTAACTACATCTTTTTATTTTTGTTGTTTACAACAACAACAAAGCATACAAACTTTATACTACAATCTAGATTTAGTTTATCTTTCTAATTAAATAATATTGTAATGTACAATATTTTGTAAATCAAATGTCTATAAACATTACATTGTTTGTTTATTCTTTGTTATAAAAGTTTACATCAACAACATTTTAACATTTTTTAATCAAATATTTCGGTATATAATTACCGTAAATGCTCGAATAAGATCCGCTCTCTAATAAGTGCCGCACCAAACCTGATTTTTTTAGCTAAGCGCCGCTCTCGAATAAGCGCCGCGGCGCTTAATCGAGAGCATATTATTACGCTGTGTGTATGTTCTATTTTCTCTATGGTGTAGTGAAGCACTTTGAGAAAAGGGTTTAACTACAATGTAAACCTGTATGGTGTTAACATAAATAAATAACACAATAAAGACACAAGCATTTCTTTATAAACGTTTATTTTACGATTAAGTAGGACCTCTGTTAGGCCTACGGAAATGCATGAGAACATGAGAACGGGCATGGAAAGCGCAATCCAATACCTTTCAAAAAGCGCCGCACTGGAGCCTCCAAAAATGTTATAAGCGCCGCAGCGCGTATTCGAGCATTTACGGTAATAGTGTTATCATGTATTAAACAAAACATAAGCCTACAACTAAAATACAAATTTTCGGGTTATCTATTTTTTTATTTAACAAAACTAACCATTAACAACTTTATTTTTTTCAATTTTAATTTCGTCAACATTCCTTTGATGGAATTTAGGGACGACCCGGCTAGTTAATGGAGCAACTAATAAAGAAGGAAGACTTGAAGTGTATTACTCAAGTTCATGGGGAACAGTTTGTGATGATAGTTGGACCGCTGCTAACTCCGATGTTGCGTGCAGACAACTGGGGTTTGCAGGAAGCTCAGCGTTTTATAGTAACGCCCACTTTGGCCAAGGATCCGGAAACATATGGCTGGATAACGTAGGATGTACTGGAAGTGAAAACAGTATATCAGAATGTAGTCATAATGGTTGGGGTGTTCACAATTGTAATCACGGAGAGGACATTGGTATATTGTGCTATGGTAAGTAAATCGACTGTCAAACAGTGGCATATCTAGGAGTCTTGAAATTTGGACGGGGTCGGGGCTGGTGGGGGCGCGAAGCTCAAATAGGAAAGCTAGGACTCGATGATTAGGTGAGGGGATGTAGATCGCAAAATAAGGTGATTTTTATCTAATTGTCCGGCTATAGTTTTGTTTGTTTGTTTGTTTGTTTTTTTAACATTTTAATGGGGGAGGTGACTGGGGTTCAAACGCGCACCACCCCACACCCTAAATATGCCACTGCAGTTAAAATTGAAATTATTTAGTCTTTGTTTTTAGAATTTAATATTTCCTATCAAAAAACGTCGCAAAATCTCTCATACGACTAGTTTATCTTTCTCATTAAATAATATTGCAATGTACAATATTTTGTAATCAAATGTCTATAAACATTACATTGTTTGTTTATTCTTTGTTATAAAAGTTTACATCAACAACATTTAACCTTTTTTAATCAAATGTTTCGGTATATAATTACCGTAAATGCTCGAATAAGATCCGCTCTTTAATAAGTGCCGCACCAATCCTGATTTTTAGCTAAGCGCCGCTCCCGCGTTTGTATTCCCAAACTTGATAAAATAACGTATTCTTGAGGATAAACTTTTCAGTGCATTTGTGTATATGACACATAAACATAAAAATAATAACCTAGCGTACATGTACAGGAATTAGTTTACGATTGGTGTAACAATAGCCAATTGTTATTTATATTGCGGTCACAGGATCAAAATAATTATAAGGCATACTATGCAGCACTGTACATTTGAAATGTGGAAATATAAAATACATAAACCAGTGTATTATAATTAGCTTTGACCTTACTCTAGAAGCTGAGTTAAGACACGTGTGCACTTTCACGTGCACTCAAACTCTTTTCAAAAATAGGTGTATATAGGTGCATGATTGAAAAAAAGTTTGGTCACGCGATCTAATACCGGCGAATTTTAAGAGGGTCGACTTTCCGTATAAATAATGGTCATGTCATGTACCATTAGGAAGGTATTTGTACACTGATTATTCTCACTCCATTACACGTACTATACGGTACCTAAAAATTCATAGTTACGGAATTATTTGGTCAAAGGTCAAAACTTGAAAATTTTACAATAAATATGTAGCAGAAAATGTACAGTTTTTAATATTTTTAAAATATAAGGTTCAAGTCGTTAGCAACGACTATTTTGCCAAAAATAACACTCACATCTTCGTGGTTTACATAAAGAAAACTACTGTAGAGCGTCGCTCCATTAGGAGCAAGGCAATAGGAAGTAGGTCCGGCTGGTCCAGTTTTGGCCGCACCAATATCTTACCTATCAATACCGTTTGTATACCAAAATTGTCCTTTTGTCGGAACATTCTTTAACAAAATTACAGTATGACTTGACTCAGTTAAAGTCCAAATATTAAGGTTCGGTATATTGAATCCTCCATGTCTACAATATGTAAGCACATAGGCCTACACCCAAAACCACAAGGAATGAATCTTTTAAAAGGATTTATGAAATTCACTACAAAGCAAGAATTTTAAAACATTTGCAACTTTTTCAAACAGCCCTTTCAAAAGAATAATTATTCATGGCATTGATTAAAGATAATGTACTTTATAGTACACCGTGCAATCAAAGCACTACATTTCATTGCATACATTTTTAAAACACAATTTGCACTCCAATTAGGAACCACTTTAGGACCTGGAACTTAGGATGGTCTCGGAGTTCGGTCTCCAATTAGAGGATAAGATTTGTATTAAAAGATTGTTGATTTTTTCTTTGTTTCTGATTATAATTGCTCTACAATGTCACATTACACTGTATTCACCAGTGGCGTATCTCTAGGGGTTCGCGGGCGGACGTCTCTCCATTGTATATAAAATTAGAAGAAATTGGTTTTATTAAAAATACAAAAACGGTCATGCAGTAACTTAATACATTAAAGAGCTTTCGTTATCTCGTTCAAAAATCAATTCACTGAGAAAATTTCTCTTTCTCGACCAAAACAACCTAAACAACCACGCACTTTGAATGCGGTTTTCACCCTGGACCCAGGGAGCCCTGGTGGCAACCGCCTCCCAACCAACTGGTGTATAGCCACGCAATTAAAATCTCTCAGGTTGGTAACTATGACTTTATGAAAATTACTCTTCTATTAATAGACTCCAAAAGGGTAGTGTAAAACTGGAGGGGTAGAAAGAGCGTCGAATGAAAGGTCAACTACCGCAGTTTAAGTCTTCTTGACTCAAAACAGCCACCCCCAGTAGAAAAAGTGGAGGGGACAATGGCCCCAGTCAACACACCCCGCCACCCCCCCCCAGCTTTTGAACCTAGTTCGTATTCTTAACTACATCTTTTTATTTTTGTTTTTTACAACTTAGAACAACAACAAAGCAAATAAACCTTATACACAATCTAGATTTAGTTTATTTTTCTAATTAAATAATATTGTAATGTACAATATTTTGTAAATGAAATGTCTATAATTTTTAATCAAATATTTCAGTATATAATGTAAATGCTCGAATAAGTGCCGCTCTCTAATAATTGCCGCACCAAACCTGATTTTTTTTTTTAGCTAAGCGCCGCTCTCGATTAAGCGCCGCGGCGCTTAATCGAGTTAATCGAGAGCATATTACGCTGTGTGTAATAAAGCACCTTGAGAAAAGGGTTTAACTACAATGTAGGCCTATATAGTGTTAAAATAAATAAATAACACAATGAAGAAAAGCATCTTTTTATAAACGTTTATTTACGATTAAGTAGGACCTCTGATAGGCCTACTGAACTACGGGAACACGTGAGAACATAAAAATGGGAATGGAAAGCGCAAGCCAAAAAATTGTTAAAAGCGCCGCACTGGAGCCTCAAAAAATGTTATAAGCGCCGCGGCGCGTATTCGAGCATTACGGTAAGAGTGTTATCATTTATTAAACAAAACAAAAAAAATACAAGTTTTCGGATTATTTATTTTATTTACCAAAACTAACCACTGACGACTTTATTTTTTCAATTTTAATTACGTTAACATTTCTTTGATGAAATTTAGGAAATTCAGTGACGATGCGGCTAGTTAATGGAGCAACTAATGGAGAAGGAAGACTTGAAGTGTATTACTCAAGTGCATGGGGGACAGTTTGTGATGATGGTTGGACCGCTGCTAACTCCGATGTTGCGTGCAGACAACTGGGGTTTGCAGGAAGCTCAGCGTTTTATGGTAACGCCCACTTTGGCCAAGGATCCGGAAACATATGGCTGGATAACGTAGGATGTACTGGAAGTGAAAACACTATATCAGAATGTAGTCATAATGGTTGGGGTGTTCACAATTGTAATCACGGAGAGGACATTGGTATAGTGTGCTATGGTAAGTAAATCGACGGTCAAACAGTGGCATATCTAGGAGTCTTGAAATTCGGAAAGGGTCGGGGCTGGTGGGGGCGCGAAGCTGAAATACAAAAGCTAGGACTCGATGATTAGGTGAGGGGAGGTAGATCGCAGAATAAGGTGATTTTTAACTAATTGTCCGGCTATAGTTTTTTTTTTTAAACATTTTTAATGGGGGAGGTGACTGGGGTTCAAACGCGCACCACCCCACACCCTAAATATGCCACTGCAGTCAAAGTTGAAATGCTTCAGTCTTTGCTATTAGAATGTATACAAGAAATATTTCCTATCAAAAACGCCGCAACATATCTCATACGACTAGTTTATCTTTCTAATTAAATAATATCGAATGTACAATATTTTGCAAATCAAATGTCTATAAACATTACATTGTTTGTTATTCTTTGTTATAAAAGTTTACATAACAATCAAATATTTCGGTATATAATTACCGTAAATGCTCGAATAAGATCCGCTCTCTAATAAGTGCCACACCAAACCTGATTTTTTAAGCTAAGCGTCGCTCTCGAATAAGCGCCGCGGCGCTTAATCGAGAGCATATTACGTTGTGTGTAATGAAACACTTTGAGAAAAGGGTTTAACTACAATGTAAGCCTATATAGTGTTAAAATAAATAAATATCACAATTAAGACACAAGCATTTCTTTATAAACGTTTATTTACGATTAAGTAGGACCTCCGATAGGCCTACGGGAATACATGAGAACATGAGAACGGGCATGGAAAGCGCAATCCAATAGCTTTCAAAACTAAGCGCCGCAGCGCGTATTCGAGCATTTACGGTAATAGTGTTATCATTTATTAAACAAAACATACAACTAAAATACAAATTTTCGGATTATCTATTTTTTTATTTACCAAAACTAACCACTAACAACTTTATTTTTTTCAATTTTAATTACGTCAACATTCCTTTGGTGGAATTTAGGGGCGATCCGGCTAGTTAATGGAGCAACTAATAAAGAAGGAAGACTTGAAGTGTATTACTCAAGTGCATGGGGAACCGTTTGTGATGATAGTTGGACCGCTGTTAACTCCGATGTTGCGTGCAGACAACTCGGGTTTGCAGGAAGCTCAGCGTTTTATGGTTCGGCCCACTTTGGCCAAGGATCCGGAAACATATGGCTGGATAACGTAGGATGTACTGGAAGTGAAAACACTATATCAGAATGTAGTCATAATGGTTGGGGTGTTCACAATTGTAATCACGGAGAGGACATTGGTATAGTGTGCTATGGTAAGTAAATCGACGGTCAAACAGTGGCATATCTAGGAGTCTTGAAATTCGGAAAGGGTCGGGGCTGGTGGGGGCGCGAAGCTGAAATACAAAAGCTAGGACTCGATGATTAGGTGAGGGGAGGTAGCTCGCAAAATAAGGTGATTTTTAACTAAATGTCCGGCTATAGTTTTGTTTGTTTGTTTGTTTTTTGTTTAAAACATTTTTAATGGGGGAGGTGACTGAGGTTCAAACGCGCACTATTCCACACCCTAAATATGCCACTGCAGTCAAAGTTGAAATGCTTCAGTCTTTGTTATTAGAATTTAAACAAGAAATATTTCCTATCAAAAAACGCCGCAACATCTCTCATACGACTAGTTTGTATTTCCATACTTAATAAAATATCGCATTCTTGAGGGTGAGCTTTTTCAGTGCATTTGTGTTATGTTATGACACATAAATATAAAAATATTGCGAATGTGAAGTGGGGGATCGATGATCAGTTGAGGGGCGCTATTTCGCAAAATTTCAGGTGATTGAATGTGATTTGTTTTTTTGGGGGGGGGGCGACTGGGGTGCGAGTAATTTTTTAAGGGGGCTCCCCCACCCCGTAGATACGCCACTGCATTTTGGAAAATTTGAACTACGTTTTGAAAACTTACAACTGCATTTTGGAAAACTAGATCTACACTTTGAGAAATTTATGCCTACGTTTGATAAATCAGACATAAAAAAATAAAAAATAAAAAAATTACACCTATACATGTTTCTCCTGACGCAAATCCAGTTATTGTCTATTCCATCACGACAATAACAATTACTTTCAACACTGCAGTACCCGCTGCTTACTTGGACTCGAATTTAACCCTGGCCATCAGGCGCAAGCTCGGTGGTCTAGAGGTATGATGCCAGGCTAGTGATCTGGAGATCGTGGGTTCGAGTCCCACCCGAGAACAACTTGTAATTTTTTCGCAATTGTTTTCAAGCGTACTGAGTATTCAGTACATTTCCACGTCAGGTAGGGAAAAAAAATATTTAAAAAATAAATAAATAAATAAATAAAATACAATACAATACACCTATACATGTTTCTCCTGACGCAAATCCAGTTATTGTCTATTCCATCACGACAATAACAATTACTATCAACACTGCAGTACCCGCTGCTTACTTGGACTCGAATTCAACCCTGGCCATCAGGCGCAAGCTCGGTGGTCTAGAGGTATGATGCCAGGCTAGTGATCTGGAGATCGTGGGTTGGAGTCCCACCCGAGAACAACTTGCGATTTTTTTCGCAATTGTTTTCAAACGTACTGAGTATTCAGTACATTTCCACGTCAGGTAGCAAAAAAAAAATGTTTCTCCTGACGCAAATCCAGTTATTGTCTATTCCATCATGACAATAACAATTACTATAAATAATAATAATTATTATTATTATTACAGTATTATTATTACTATTATTATTATTATTATTATTATTATTATTATTACAGTATTATTATTACTATTATTATTATTATTATTACTACTACTATTACTATTATTATTATTATTACTAGGCCTATTATTATTACTATTTATGTTATTATTAAATAATATTACTATTATTACTATTATTATTATCGTTATTATTATTATTATTATTATTACAGCTGCTGCTTCTACTACAACGCCGGTGACGACTCAAGGTAAAATGTTAAACTTCAATATAAAATTATGTGATGTTGAAACTTAGCATGTGAACAACACTGTTAAAAAAGTGTTTTATTATCATTATAAATAAAATTCCATATTATCCTATTTTTATTATTATTATTATTATTGTTATTGTTATTATTTTGGTTATTATTATTATTATTATTAGTATTATTATTAGTTATTACAGCTGCTGCTTCAATTTTATCCTAATATAATTATTATTATTACTATTACTATTATTACTACTATTATTATTATTACAGCTGCTGCTGCTTCTACTACAACGCCAGTGACGACTCAAGGTAAAATCTATATTGCTGTACTTTCACTTACAAGAGGGTAGCCCAAAACAACAGGGGAAGATCCAGTAGGGGAGAGAGGGACGTCACAGAAAAGGGCTGCCTGCCCGTTTTGCCACTAATTTTTTTAAAATTTAATGCAATATATATGCTATTTGCTTATTAAATTATTCTGAAACTGTTGTGCGCCCCCCCCCCCCCCCCTCCCCCTCACCCCACCCCTAACCCTAACCCTAACCCTAACCCTAACCCTAACCCTAACCCTAACCCTAACTCGAAATATTAACTACAATGACATTATTATTATTATATTATTATTATTATTATTATTATTATTATTATTATTATTACAGCTGCTGCTTCTACTACAACGCCAGTGACGACTCAAGGTAAAATGTTAAACTTCAATTATAAAATTATGTGATGTTGAAACTTAGCATGTAAACAACACTGTTAAAAAAGTGTTTTATTAATATTATTATTAATAAAATTCAATATTATCCTATTATAATTATTATTTATATTATTATTGTTATTGTTATTATTTTTGTTATTATTGTTATTATTATTATTAGTAAATACAGCTGCTGCTTCAATATTATCCTATTATAATTATTATTATTATTATTGTTATTATTGTTATTATTATTATTATTAGTAAATACAGCTGCTGCTTCAATATTATCCTATTATAATTATTATTATTATTATTATTGTTATTATTGTTATTATTACTGTTATCATTATTATTATTATTATTATTATTATTATTACAGCTGCAACTACAACGCTGGTGTCGACTCAAGGTAAAATGTTAGACTTCAATTATAAAATTATGTGATGTTGAAACTTAGCATGTGAACAACACTGTTAAAAAAGTGTTTTATTAATATTATTATTAATAAAATTCAATATTATCCTATTATAATTATTATTATTTATATTATTATTATTATTACTATTGTTATTGTTATTATTTTTGTTATTATTATTATTATTATCATTATTATTATTATTTTATTATTATTATTATTATTATTATTATTATTATTATTATTATTATTATTAATACAGCCGCTGCATCAACTACAACGCCGGTGACGACTCAAGGTAAAATGTTAAAATTAGGTGGTGTTGAAACTTAGCATGTGAATAACACTGTTGAAAACGTGTTTTGTTATTATTAATACAGTTTATTAATAAAATTTGATATCCTATTATAAATATTCTTATTTTTATTATTGTTATTTATATTGTTATTATTGTTAATAGTATTATTATTATTATTATTATTATTATTATTATTATTAATATCAACAAATGCTTCCTAATTCTAATTCAAGGTAAACTTCAATAAAATTATGTGATGTTGGAACTTAACATGTAAATAACACAAAATGTGTTTTATTATTAATAAAATTATATATTATCCTATTGTTATTATTATTATCATTATTGTTATTAATATCATTAACTATTATTACGAATGCTTCCAAATTCTATTATTGATGATAATCAAAGGTCAACACAAGTGACTACTCAAGGTAAAATGTTAACTTTAATTAGGCCTATATATTTAAATGATGTTGGAATAGCATGCATTGCATTATTATTATCATCATTATTATTATTATCATTATTATTATTATTATTAATTATTACAGTAGCTGCTTCTACTACAACGCCAGTGACGACTCGAGGTATAATGTTAAACTTTAATGATATGTAATGTTGAAACTTAACATGTGATTAACACTGTTGAAAAGTGTTTTATTACTATTAATGTAATAATAAAATTCAATGTTACCCTATTATTATTATTATTATTATTATTATTATTATTATTATTATTATTATTATTATCATCATTATCATTATTATTATTATTATTATTATTATTATTATTATTATTATTATTATTGAGATTTGACCACACGTCAAGATGAAGATTTGACCACTCCACAACAAGATGAAGATGTTCTAGCAGGTAACCTATTAAGTTTTAAGTATATTTATTGCTGCTAATTATTGCTGCTAAGCAGCCAATTCATATTCTTGACAGCAATTTGACCTCTGAAAGGTCATTGTTTGTCAAAAATCAATCGCCTGAGACAACTGAAAAGCGGAGTTTCCTTCTTTCGTTCTGCCGGGTAAAATCAATTACTT